TAGCTTTTTTAAAGTGAGGAGACAAATAAACCTTTTGTTTAGGAAGCAAAACCATCCACAATCCCCAAACATGGGGCTCCTGAGGCAGCAATGACTAGGAAGCAGTGTGCTACTGCATAAGATAGCGGACCTCAGCTCTGCAGTCTAAAACCTCAGCCTCCCATTCCTTGTTACTGTCCTCATCCACAGCACTTCTTCCTACCTTGGAAAGCATTCTTCAGTTATCTCTATTGCAAATTGCAGCTGCTTGCTAATTTAATGGCATCATGACTGATTCAGGCATACTCAAGAAAGACATATACTTCACAGTATGCATATGATTCATAAAGAGTTAAGCAAATGTACTATTTTTACACCTTCAAGAATACAATTCTCTATTTTAAATGATGCTGTCAGAACGATTAATTAAGATCATGTTTACACATGCTACTTTTTCCAAGTTGTACAAATAAATTCATTGTTAAGTTCAGGACTGCCTGTACTCAGTCAAGAATGTCAGCTCATAGCAACAAGAATTTCCATGACTGTGATATACTAGAGTTGGATCCTCCAGGCTACAGTGGTGTAGTGGAATCAAGCCAACATCATAAGCACAGAAAACACTGACTTTTAGAAATGTCTAACTTCAAAAAGAATCATGAATAAGTGGTATCTTGGTTCATGAACTTAATTCTTTCCACGACTCTGGTCACAACCAAATTGGTCACGTACTGAATCAAATTCAATGGTTAGGTTCAATGTTGATCTTATGGGGAAATGTGATTTGGTTCACAACCAAATCAGTTTGCCACCAGAATTGTGGAAAGAATTAAGTTCATGAACCAAGGTACCACAGAACTTGTAATATGGCACTTTATTCTTAAGAATGTTCTGAAATGTTTTATATCTTAACATGCTTAAAAATCAGTATCTTTTTTTCTTTTAGAGATGGTTTACAAAATATATAATATCCTTTAGAGGCTAAAAGATAACAAATATAAATCTGATTTAAAATTTTAATAAAAACAGAAAAGGCCCACCTAATCTTCCAGGGACAGACATCCATATATACATAATGGACCACTGAATCTCATTCAAAGATTAGTAAGTTAGAGTCACACAAAACCTTTTAATAGGTTTAAATAAATTATTTTATATTCTCAGTCAATTATTTATCTCAAATACATACCTCAAATAAATGTAATACAATGTAAGAGCTCAAGGATTAATATTTTAAATTTATGTATAAAATTAACAAATTGCTTCACTACACAGAAAGAAAATATAAATATCCCAACCATCTTTATTTAATCTCATTTTTTTCTAAACTTCTAAAAT